TACGACAGAATAGTGTAATAGTCACCTTCAGAGATTTTTTGTTCTTTTCCGGAGTCTTCCTTCTCAGACTGTCCAGGCGTTGACTAATCCTGATAATTATCTACTTTTCTTTTGGTAAAGTTGTTTGTCATAGATTTAGCACGATCATTTTAGAGTTCATTAAAAAAAACATACTCAACAACTATACAAAAATATAAATTTAATATGTTTACAAATATTTTTTTCATGAAAATTCATTAACTAACAAAATGTTTCAACTTACTCATAGCATTATATTCTGCTTCTATGTCTTTAAAAAGTTTATGGTTTCTGACTCTATTAAACAAACACTGTAAAACCACTTGTATCGTTACACGATTGCGTTTTAGAAACAGAGTATACGACGTAGCCGCATGCGTATAATCCAAGTAATTACCAAAAATTATTTGATACACATCAATTGTTTCTCTCCTTTAACGACTAGGCAACGTATCACTAAACCACTTTTCCGTATATAATACCCGTGCATTTTCAGACGAAACAGTAGCGTATCTTGCGCACGAGCAAACGACCTCAAAGACCCAACGATTCGTTGATGCTTTTATTTTTTCAGGAATTAAAAATAATAAATGGACAAGGCAACTATTAAAACTTGTGAAACACGGAAGCAGTAACTTGGTGAAAGAAAGAGAATGATAATTAGCAAAATAAATTAACAAGACTTGCAAACCACGGATTTTGTATGCTAGTGAAGGAAATGCACAGAATTATTTTTGCAAGGAAAAGCGAGAGCTGTTTCAGCGGAATCTGACAGGTAAATGTATTACAGCGTACAAGCAAGAAAATGTCATTCGTCTGAGAGTGTCGGATAAAGACTGATTTTCTTTTTTGTTTTCTTCTTCTCATCACCTACTACTATACTTTCCTTTTTTTTGCCAAAATTTTGGCCTATCTATGATAAATGTAAAAGTATACTCAGTCAGATCGGTACACTTTCGTCATAATCTGAAAAATTTCACGCAATCCTGCACCTAAGGGACAATTGCTCACTTTTTCCATGGTTACTATCTCTTCTTAGTCTTAAAAAAAAAAATGCCAAAGAATTTGAGTGAGAGATTGCACCGAATACAAAAATTTTACGAGGGAGAGTGTAGCAGCTAAGTTTTTTAACACAAGGGTTTTACTTTACTATAGACCTGTTACTCTTTTTTAAAGCTTAGACAACGACTGACATAGATAATTTTTGCAGTGTGTTCAAAACTTTGTCGGTAAAGTGATTTTTAACTTCCATTTACTGCGTCGTATGAATCTGTAAAAAAATGGCTCGTGTTGAACCGAGACAAGCTCATTTTTTATCGCGTCATACCTCTGAACATCCAGCAGATTTGATTAACCTTGCGGACAGTCGAAAAGATAAAGGAAGTGCTATAATATCCACTGCCAAGCTATTACTGCGATTATATCCGCTCATAAGATGGCTACGAAACAATTGTCGTGGGACTTCATTTTAATATAAACCGTTAGTGCTTCGAGCCTTTGTTGCAGATTTCCAAATGTTAGTTTACAGGAGATGTAATTATAAAGTCACATGTATGAAGCGAGTAAAAAGATTTATTTGCTCCTATAAATAATTACGTTACCGATAAAAACGTCAATCAAATGGATCACATACAAGTTGGTGATATTAAGAGGATATTTACATCATTTTATGAAATGAAGTCAGTTGTCTTTTATAAAAATGAAACTAGTGACGAACAAGATGAAAACAAGAAAAAAAGACAACGTATGGTTTAACCATTGTCATGCCACACTGTACCTTTTTGGGGCTTTTTTTCAAACTATCATATGTGTGGATAAAATACTACATCATTACGAATGTGCAGCAACATAAGTTAATAAGTGCAAGGATTTTTTAGAGAATTTTTCAACTACTTCGTTAGAAAGCATCACTTCAATTAATAATCCAGCTTATCTTATTCGGAAAAGCTTATTAAAGAACATTACTTAACTCTTCAGGAAAATGTTAAAAAAAATCTTTATTCTGCAGTTGATAATCTTTTTTTTAAACAAAATTTTGTTCTGGTACTCTGAAAGATAACGACGTACTGTTTACAAATACTTTTAAATGACATAAATTTTAAATTACATAGAACTAATAATGGAGAAGAATATTAAAATATTATGTTTAGCATTTTATTTTGAAATATTGTTTGTTTTACATTACAGTTAAGTAAAAATGTGATGCTAACTACTTTCAAAGTCTTAAAATCATTAAAACTTATGACTATTGTAGTGTATGTAATACAATAAACTTAGTGCAAGCAATTTTAAAACTAATTTCAAGTACCAAAAACTTTTTTTTAAGGACGATAATAATAAAAACAAGAAATCTCCACTGAAAAACTTTGTTGATAAGTATTTGATAAACAAGGAATGTTGTCCTAGAAATGAAGGTTGTGAAACGCTAAAGAAATAAAACTCAATATCATAAAAGCGAAGAAAATGGAGTATTTCGTGGACATGCAAGGTTTGAAGAAACCAGGTTATGATTATGTACTCAAATAATTAGCTACTTTTTCGCTCGAAGCTACCGATGCAGAAGCACAAGTATTTCTTTTGAAAGCACCCTTCAGCAGGCGAAAATAACTACCAAAGTATAAACATAAAAATTTAAGCCGTTATATTTTACTATCATGGACTTAGCTGGTACTCAGAAAAAATTGAGTACACAGAAATGAGAAATATTTTACGGAAGGATTTTGAAAATGCTACGAAGATACTTGTTATTGAAAATCTGAAACAAAAATGGCTTGAAAAATTTCACAACGGTGCCTACAGATCCATGTGTGCTCTTTACAATGTCAAACGAATAAGAAAGTTTTACTTTAATATGAATATGGTTAATGTTAATGACGACGACGACGACAACGACAACAACAACGATGATAATAATCAAGAGCTGTTAAAATGTATTGCATTTTAAGAATAAGGTTCTTAACAAATCATTTTGCAATTCTAGCTTTGTACAAGTATATTTTTTTATTTTAAAATAAACTGATTGATCAAAAATAAACGACAATGTTAACAATTTTTCTCCGTTTCCTTCATATTCTACAGTATTATGCAACGTCCTCGCTTACATAAAAAAAAAAAAAAAAAAAAAATGCTTCTAACCATAACGTAAGCAAGCTGCACAAGATTTTACATATTTAATCAGCGCGCGTAAGCCAACGCTGCAAACACGCATTACACTACGCTCAACTCGAGAAGCGCTGCAGGTAGCACTTACGAGCTCAAGTGGCGTGTCCAAAAAAGGATAACTGCTGGATCTGCTCGCCCATTGGCTGAAGGAGAAGCAGCGTCACGCCACAGAGAAGTATACGCCATTGATAGAGGGGGTGTTCTAGAACCACTGTGTTCTAGAATGGCCATAGCTTATCTTCTCATGCCACTGTAAGCTAACCTAAAAAAGGAGTGAATGAGGAATAAGAAAAATAGGATCGTTGACTTCGGATTCAACGTTAAAAGCAGCAGCCTTATTATTGTTATCGCCACAAGATATTCTCGTGTATAATCAGGATTATTGTTGCAGCCAACGTTGTAAGATCTTGCAACTGCATGCGGGCAAGCAGCGGTTAACCAACTATCATAGAAGTGAATTGAGTTGAGAAAAATTACAAATTGTATAAACGTTGTAAATGCGAGTCTGAACTTTGTAATTTATATTATTCGTAAGATCAACTATTTCCAGCTTTTCCAAACTTATTTTGTCATCAGATAAGACATCACTTGGTTTGTTAATTAAATTTGTTTCTCTAATTACAAAATATTCTTAAAACTATATGATATCAGGCATTCAAAAATTCAAAATATCAGTAGATTGACTTATAATTCACCTTGATGGATAAATTGAACGTCAAGTTACCAAGTTAGCAATTGTCACAGTATGAAGTTACTATTGTGTAACATAATATATGATTTTATATAGTAGGTAACGCCAGCTCACGTATAAGAACAAAAATTATTTTTTTTGTGTGTAGAATGAATCTACGAGTTTCACCCTTCAGTTATACAAGCTCGTTACACATTGACATCTCTGGAAGGGAGCTACGCCCTTTTTGTTACTTAGAGTATTCTTTTGTTTTGTTTTTATTTTCTTAAAAATTAGTTTATTTTCATTCTTCATCTGTTGACAAAAAAGATTTTTATAATGGATCAGACACTTCAAATGATAAATAACTTTTAATTCCTTACTTTTTCAATTAAACTTTTTTGCTTTCTCTGTTAACTTACATGAATTTCGTTTTTTATGATTGTAGTCCTTATTTTATGTTATTTAAATAAATTTGTTTGCTGCAATTGCCATATATCTATAATAAGTGTTTCATTGATCTATGTATAGAAATAAGACAAAATGAACACATGTATTTATCACGACTTATATTATTTTATGAAAAATTATTCAGTATACAGTTACTTAAATTGATATGAAAGGGCATTACAATTAAAAAAAGGCTATTAATGTAACTAAGGTATAGCTGTGAAAGAGTAATAGATCTGGCATCATTTTTATAAGTTTAAGGATAGTAAAATATGATACAAATGATTGATAAAAAAGATAACTTTGTAATTAAGGTTTACAGTGAGGAATAAGCAATATGAGACATGACAACATGGAACTCATCAAATTTTAATACATTTGCTTGCTAACATATTTTTCGTATAGATTCACTCTACAAATCTAAAAACAGGTTAATCATCTATCCATTGGTCCATCTTATGATGTATTATAAATCATACATTGAATTGTTAGAAATATGAGTACCCATTTTAATTTTCTAACTTTATATGACTTCTTACACTGCAGCTTTTATTAAGAATTGCAAAAAATACAAAAGGACCGTAAATTTTTTAACAGCATAACAGAAAATACTATAGAGAAAGTTAAAATTAAAAAATATGAGAAAATATGAAGTAAGTATTTTTTTGTTGAATATGTTTAAAGCGTATCTTATATTTACCATTTGGAGTATGGACTTGTTTTAGTATTTGAGGTTCGATCACCGTATCAGCATTGAAAGGATAACTAACTCTTTTTAATATCCCATTTACAAGAGAATCTTTGTTACATGGAAAAAATCCTAAATGATCACCAGGTTTGTAGTTTAACTTCTGAGAAAAATTACTTAACTTTAAATGTAAAGTCACCCCTCTGAAACAGAACAGAAACTGATTTATTGACTATTACAACAATATTTTATTGATTATTATAGATCTTAAGAAGAATGTGTTGTGCACCATGGTTACTTAGTACGTATTACTTTGTGCTTAAAAACTATCTTATATTCAAAATATTTCTTATAATACCTAAAATTAAACAACTACTGTGTTATAAGAAAGTCTTAATTCATTGTTGAAAAAAGTTATTATTCTATGAGCGTGCTAGATTAATGTGCTGTGACAACTTACTGAACCAGCGTACTAAATTGTTAATAAACGTATTTACTTAGTAGTTCCTCTGATACGACTTATATGTAATATTAACTAAAGTGAGAACTTGGAAAAATGAGAAAAATCATGAGCATTGTATCGTTATGTAAGATAATAGCATGCGTACTTGGCAAATGCAGTCATACAAAGCTGCATCACAGTGTATACAATAAGTGTTATCACATATCTGCCATCTATAATCGTGACTCATTTCTCACATACATGTATCTAACAGCATGAATGACAATTTGTAAGACAAATTGTGTAGACATGTTCGTACGGCAGTAAATTAAATAACATAATACAAAAATAATCTATGCTTTTTGAACACCTCTGAGAAAAGTTTAGCCCTGACTTGTATGCTGTCTTAAGACAAAGACCCATTTTATAAGATATTTTTAAAAGTAGTCTGTAAGATAGTACATTAAACTGATAGTTAACTTTGATTCAGAATGATAAATGTGGTGATGAAATTTAAGAACAACGTTAAAATAAGCCAGCAAAGTATACGGAATATAATTTAAAATTTCGAAAAAAATACGTGGTCTGTTTTTGGCGTAGCTAACTCTCGTTGATCAATTCAGCTGGGTACTACCTACACTATTGGGCTTTTTTTACTTATACGTTTTTTTACAGATGTTTTATGAAAAAAGGAAAATTTAACGTTTTTGCGAACATTTTTCACCAGCGTATCTGACGTTTTAACAATTTTTGTAAAAATACAAGTAAATGTCAATTGCACCTGTGTAAGCAATAGTTGAATTCTTGATCTTGTAGTTTGGTTCTATTGAAATAGCTCTATTTATTAAATAATATACCGTCAAAGCGCGTTAAATTTTTCGAGGCCCTTATGGCACCGTACCCTAAGTACGGTACTAACTGCCCAAGCCACCTTGATGCTAACAATTTGGACTTAGTTCAGTAGAAATGATGTTTACACTTTGCAGTATCATGATTGATGAGTAAAGTAATTTAAAGTTGTCCGCTAGCTCTTTTTTTCTTTTCTCCTCTATTATGGCATTACAAATGGTGGTGTGTCTATACTGTAACTTGAGTATATGATAAAATTATTATATTTGTTATTTGAAGCGAATAGCGATTGATTGGTCAATGGGCGTGTTGAACGAAGTCATTAGAAAGTTGTAGCTGACTAAGTTTCTGATTCCAGTTTTAATTACTAGTGTTATGCAGTAAGTGTATATAATTTGAATTTTATGAAGTATTCTATTAGTGTTGACTTTTTATGTGACTTTTCTGCGAGATCCGTAATGCTTTGTTAAAATGCAGTAAATGTCGATACTGCAGTGTTGCTATCATGCATCTATTATATCGTTGTTAATTCTGCATGGAATTCTGTTATGATACTTTGAGGCTTATTGTCAGAGATGTTTTACATGTTTAAGAAACTTTTTTTCAACTATAAATTATTATTTTCATTGCTGGTTATTGTCACAATTTCACACCACGCTTGTGTTAAACTAAACGTTTTTGAAAGTCAGTGGTTGGAAATACATCTTCAAAGTTTGAGATCTTCCGTTAATGGTTTCGCATGTACGTATGATTTGATGTGTGTTTGCAAGGTGTATGTAATATATAATATGTTATATATATACGTAATATGTAATAAATAAAAGTAATTAGTTGCAACAAGAAATCCACAAAGGGGTCGAAAACCTCGATATCATTGGTGTAAGAGCTTAAAAATTTTTTACATTTAACAGTTGTGGAAAGAATAACAGTTTTGGAAAACAATTGATTAAAATTTATTTATTTATGNAGGGAGAAAATTTAAATGCGCATTTAAATTTTCGAGCATTAAAAAACATTTCTGCTCATTTCGTGACCTTCGTATCTTCAGGTCACGAAAGCAGAAAAGGTTTAAAAGTCAAAAAATAAACATGGTAGCAGAGCGTGGTTGCCCGGCTTCCGAGAAACAAATTCCTCGTTAAAATTTTCTTTAAGGTCAAGTGACGTCACTTCACAACATTGACTTATTTTGAAAATCGTCTCTAAGAGAGGGACAAGACGACTAGCAGGAGGAGAGCGACGAGCGCTATCGGCGTTTCTTCTTTGTGCGGATGTTCGCAGTGCAATTGAGTACCTTCCATTTCCACACCGATTTCATCGCCCCGCTCGGCTCTACTCTCGTTGGTCTACCAGTTTATCGGCGCTTTGGATGAGGTAGAGCACCAGGGAAGAGTGCGGTAACAGAGACGGTAAGAGCAGTCGTCGCTGTTATTATTTTTCGTTGCTCATACAGCAGCTGTATTTCAAGCTGTTTGTGTTTTATCTTATTTTTGTTTGCTATTAAGTAGCGTAACTTTGCATTAGTTGTCTTCGTTATTGATTACTCCACACACCATGAAAGAATTGTTCAAAGCACAATTGAAGCTGCATAGCTACATTTGCAATTTTTATACTAATACCGTTGAAAAGGCCACATTAGAAAGTCGGACTGTTAGTTATTATAAAGCTCGACTAGAGTTGATAGCTAGTTACTGGGCCAATTACACTGCAAATCACGATAAGTTGATCATTGAGGAAGATGCTAACGCGGAACTTGCCTACTTCAAAGACGATTTTTATACGACTTGCGAAGCTGAATTTGCAATCGCAATGGGTCGGATACGCGATAAGATTACCGAACTCCAACCTCCCGCGCTGAGTCAAGATTTGCCAGCACCGACTTCAATAGTGCAGAATATCACTAATTCTGCGCCTCACGTTGCACTTCCTCCTATTGCATTGCCCACGTTTTCCGGTAAGCAGGGTGAATGGGAAAGCTTTAAGCAGCGATTTTGTTCTCTTGTAAAAGACAAATCAAATATCTCCCGAGTAGAAAAATTGCAGCATTTATTGAATGCAGTACATGGTCAAGCTGCACATCGTCTCAAAGGTCTTGACGTTATCGACGCGAATTTTGATGTTGCTTGGGAAAAACTTGTGCGCCGTTATGACAACCCACGTATCCGACTCTTTTCAACACTCGAAAGCTTGTTTCAGTTATCTTCAAACAAAGCTCGCAGCGCACAAGACCTTAATGAGTTAATCGATACTACCGAAGAATCTGTTCGAGCTCTTCGCGACTTAAACTGCCCAGTCGAACATTACGACAATTGGATTGTTCACTGTGTTGTCCGTAAGCTCGATGCTGGCTCTCGCGAANTAATTAATTGGCAAAACTTGGCTTTAAACGCAATAACGTTGCATAAAAATACGTACTATAATTGGGATGACTTTTTGGAAAAGTCTTATTTATAACAGTGCTTTACTGTATTGAAATGTTCAACAATTATATTTTCATTCTCCGCTTCAAGTGTTATGTTGTTGTTATATTTGCTTACATTGATGATTTCAAAGTTTTAAAAAATTTGAAAAATGCCGTTGTAATATTTATGTAATAATTATTTCTAAGATTCTTTTATAAGGTTTACTTTTATACTCACTATTAAACTTTAAAATCAAACATTTTTATCGTTATTTTATTCATTTTTATGTCTACATTTCATGAGCTTATCATAAGCTTTTTTATACATGTCTCTTGAACAATGGAATAAATTAATAAGATAATTATCAAAAGACTGCATTTGATTTTTTGGTTTGTTATGGATTTGGTGGACGTGCTTTTTTGCCGCATATGAATTTATATAGTATCAACCTGGTAACTGTATGCAGTGACATATTGTATTCATGTATAGCAAGAGGTAAAATTTTGTACGAGTACTGTTTAATTATGTCTTTTTTTCTCAAAAAGCTTGCAAGCATAGCATGGCTATGTTTTAGTGAACCATTAGATTAGAGTTGGTTAGGTATATTGGTCTTGAAGTTAAAAGCAAACTTATTAGCATTTTACTTTGTAACTCTTTCCATTATCACTGAGTAGTATTTTAAGCACCTGATACAACGCTTGAAAGGGTCTTGCCAGTGCGTCTGTGACTGTGACAGCTTGAATGTCAGGTATGGGGTGCTGCTACACAGGTTTTTGGAAATAAATATTGTATGGATAATATGTGTATATTTTTATATATTTATATATATTTATGTCTGGATGTTGTTGTTGCTAACTATTCTACAGTATTGATGGCTGTTTTTGAGCAAAATTTAGCTATAGTATTAGTTATTATGATAGGTTTTTTTGTTTCTATGCATCTTAATTTTTGTTCTTGGCAAATTTTGCATTTTCGTACAAAAATTTTAACATCTTTTCCTATACCTTCCCAGTAAAATAATTCACGTACTCTTTTCTATGTTTTTTTATGCCTCTAAGCCCACCGAAAAGGCTGTTGTCGCATTCGATCTTGATGAGTCTGTTATGGCTTTCTTAGCATGTGCAATAGATGTTCTTATTTATTCGGGGATTATCAACACATATTTCAAAGGTATCGTACGTGACTGCAATGTTTTATAATTATTAGTATCGCAGTCAGAACTTGAGCTTATACATATATTGGAGCAATCACTGCTTCTATTACTGCTGGATCTTAAAATTCTTTTAACACTCTTACACCCCTCCTTTAAATTAATGTAATCTTTTATGGTCTTTATTTTATCAAAATCTCTGGAGTTACGCAATAAGGCGTCAGCATTTAAATTCAAACATCTGGGTTTGTACTTATAGGTGTAGTTGTACACACTAAGTTTTGCTGTCCGTCGATTAAGACGATTCATGGGATCTTTTATTGATTTAATCCATGTCAAATGTTCGTGGTCTGCGTAAACTGT